TCGTACGTGAATCGCATGAATGTGGCTTTTGCTGAAATTCCTACAGTGTCCATTCAGGAGATCAAGGCATTTATCATGCTTCGGCAGAGCTATTTGAATGCAGAAGACAAGAAACGGGTTCTTTCGATGACTGGAGGTGAACTACAATCCAAAAAGGTCGAAGATGCGATGAGACAACTGGCGCCGAAGATTCTGGTTGGAAGTTCAGGGATGGACAACAAGAAGAAGGTCTACCCAGTGAACTTTACAGAAGAAGACGACGACCATGTTGCACCCTCTTTCGTTGCCGAGGAGGACTACCACCCAGATGAAGAGACAGGAATCCAAGCTTTGTTAGATCAAGGCGATGAGGACACCTTGATGGTTGCAGACTTTGAGGATCAGCTGGTTGAAGCCTGTCAGGACAATGCAGATTTGAGCATGTGTTTCTCTGCTTACACCGATGCCCGCAGCCGTGTGAGAGACAAGATCCGAGCACGGGGGTTTTGGCCTCCAATCAAAGGAAAAGGAAAGCAGAAATCCAAGGGTCCAAGAAAGGTTCGTGGAACCAAAAGGGGGGATTCCGGAAGAGACAGTCATTAGCAGAGCGGATCGCCAACTCAAATTGCAGATTGTGTGGTGCCAAAGGTCATTGCATGGCGTCAAGAATGCCCCAACAAGAGTGTTGGGAACAGTCAGAACGCCACCTCAGCGGAGATCCATGTTTCCACCTTGGAGGGTGAGTTCCAAGGAACACCAGAACAGGAAGTGTTGGACCGCTTGCCTATCTCCTTAGAACAAGCTCTACCTGACTGGTGGCCCCAGACCAACAACCGAGTGACGATCCCGGAGATGCCGACGACCATGATGTCAGAGACCGACCATGGCAAGACTTTGAGCCAGCGCCTGTATGACGACCAGGTCGGGAACATGTTCGTGCCTTCTCATTTTTGTAGGGCTTCTAAAACAGAGACCCGGGTTAATGAAAATTCATTTATACTGCTCTGACCATGACCGATCTGAAACGTACTCTTTGAAGGGGATTGGGTGAGTATGTTCACGGGAAGCGCGTCAGGTGTGAGACCCAGCATGAGCCGGTGTTTTTTTGTGGATCATGGTAGCGCGGCGATTTTGGACACCGGAGCTAGTAAATCCGTGATCGGAAAAAAGAGGTTGGAGCAGTTAATGCGAAACTTGCCGGACGTTTTTGTGAAACGCATTGCATGGCAGAAATCTGAGACAGTGTTTAGATTTGGGAACAATGGGACTTTAGCAAGTTTGGGGGCCGTGTTCATTCCTTTGGGACGTAGGTGGTTGAGACTAGAAGTGGTTGAAGGAACGACGCCATTTCTTTTGTCGAATGCATTCTTGCAAGCGGTGGCAGCGGACATTTGCACGTCGCGGAAGTTGCTGTGCATGTTTCATGGTAGAGTCAGTGTTCCTTTGAGTGTGAGTGAGAAGGGTTTGTTTTTGGTTGATCTTGTGGAAATTTTGAAACATGCACAAGTAGAAGATTTGCATGGTGAATCATGGGAGGTCGTGACTAATATGATTGATGAAAGGAAAACGGGAAAAGAGGAAACGAAAGACACACATTTGTGCACGCGTCACACACTTCCCACACCAGCAGCAACACCAGCATCAAGCACGTGCGAGAAACCACCCATCAGTCCCGACACCGATGGCGCCAAAGAAAGCAAGTCCCGCCTATGCCGCCTCCGTGGGATTGGATGTCCCACTCCCATTCCCAGAAGATCGTGCTCTGGCGACAATGCCGGACCCCAGCGAGATCAAGATTGTGAAGCCGCCCGGAGTCACAACTCTGAGGGAGTGGGGAGACCAAGTGCTGGCCGGCGGGAAACACGTCGGAAAGACATTTGCACAAGCCCCGGCTGTCGACGCGAGCTATGGCGAGTTCATGAAGAAGAAGGGAGACCTGACCTCTCTGTGGGCATTGAGTTTTCAGAACTATGTGAGAGCAGTGGACCAGGCGAACCAGTCGCCCAAGATGGAACAGCGCCAGCCAATTCTGACTCCTGCCATGATCGCCAAGATGAAGCAGGAATGGGCAATGAATGGTGCCGTGGCCACGGATTGGGATGTGATCGAGGAGTTGAAGGGCTCGCCGAGTTCGGAAGTCCCATTGAGGATCACGACGTCAGCAAGTGGGTCAGCAGCGACCAAGCGTGGGCCTCCGGCCGACGACAACGTGTGGGACATGAAGGTGGAGATCTCTCACGAGGCCAGCCTGAGAGTGGAGCAAATTCAGAGGCAGATTGCTCTGCTGCAGGACGAGATGAGGCGGATTTTGCCAGCCGAGACGGAAGATGCCTAGAACATACTATCGAGAAGTTGAGTTCAGTAGTCCAGCAGAATTCAGATGGTGATGAACAACCCAGCGAGGACACTTCTTTTGTGCAATTCTTTGACATGGAGTTAGCCAACCTGGTAACTAAGATTGAGCACCAATTGGAAGAACTGGCAAACCACTCGACTGACATTCGGACACGACACACCGCACAACGATTTTCCAATTCGCGAAGAAGGTTGGACATCCTGGAGGTTTACTGTTTCCCAGACTCCCAGCTGACACACACAGCAAGCAAGATGGGACTGACAGTCCAAAGATTTACACTCCAGCTCCGTACCCCAGAAGGCCAAGCGCGCCTGTGGGACATCATCGAGACGCAACGACCCAGACACATTTGGGCATCACCTGACTGCAAACTGTGGGGAAACTTCGCACGTAGGAACATGGGAAGAAGTTTGAAGTTGAGGAAATATGTGTTGGAAGGAAGAAACCATGAAAGGCCCAATTTGTCCTTGTGTGAAGAGCTGTATTGGCACCAGGTTCAAACGGGAAACCACTTTCATTTGGAGCAACCTGTTGGTTCCGAGCTTCTTTTGCAGCCTGAGTTGGAACAGGTGAGATATAGAACTTTGACAACAGTGTTTGACATGTGCGAAGTCGGAAACCTGAACTGGAAAGGTGAACCTTTGAGAAAAAGAACAATAATATTGACGACCTCCCGACAGATGCACAGATCCCTTGATTGCCGGTACTGTAGCAAAGGACATACACATCGACAGATAGCCGGTCAGGTGAAGACGGATGGAGTTTGGATTCCCTTTGCTGCAAAGTACACTGCAAGTTTTGCGAAAGCTGTGATCCGTGTTGTACAGAGCAACCACGATGAACTGCCTTTGTTACGTGAAGAACTGAATATTTCCATTGAAGGTAACGAGGTAGATCAGGTTTTAGTTGGTGAAGCAATAAAGAGACGCCGAATGACGTCAAAACAGCCATTGAATGCAGAACCCCAGATGGAGGAAACAGAAACGGAAGAAAGACCACATAAAGACTCATGTTCGAAACGTTTGAAGGACCTATTTGGCGAACTGGCCAAATTGGCGCCCAGGGTAGGTTCGGTAGTTGTCGGTCGTGATTCTTCAAGTTTTGGGGTGGCTCAAGAGTTTTATGATTTCCAACTCAAACATGCAGAAATATGTCGTGGTACCGAGCGTTTGAGGATTCCAAAGGCGGGAACACCCTTAGAAGGTTTAGATTTGCGGAAGACCTTTTCTCTAAGTAGGAGTACTGGAGAGATCGAACAGGTAGGTGAGGTTGAAGAATGGAAAAGGATGCCTCAGAGGCAAAGAATTAGGAAAGGGATCCTTCACGCCTCACGCTCACTCTTTTTGGAACACGTGAAGACATGACAAAACAGGAGGTTCAGCAAGAAAAGTTTGCTGATAGTGAAATGGAAGGGGATCGGAAACGAAGACTCCTGGATGACCAGGAAAACGACACGAAACGTGTGAAGACCGACTCTAGTGAGATGCCGATGGTTTTGGGGGATGATCAAAGGGGTTTGGAGGTTCCGGTTGCGAAACCACCTGAAGGGGAACATGATGAGGAGATTTTAGGGAGACCCCCAAAGAACTTGGCAAGACATGGACCAGGGTTTTTGAATTTGGACGATGACAAACGGAAATGGTTGAAACAAATCCACCATAGATTGGGGCATCCAGACGTCGAAACGATGGTTCGATATCTCCGATCGACGAACGCCGAGCAAGCAGTGGTGGAAGGGGCACGTGATTTCCAGTGCGACGCGTGTGTTGAGGCACGCAAAGGTTTTGACCTGCCGAAAGCTGGTGCCATACATGAAGATTTGGGGTTCAATCACACAATAGGTATGGACGGGGTGACATGGACGAACTCCAAGCAATCTGCTTTTGAGTTCACACATGTGATTGATGAAGGTACCCTGTTCCAAATAGCCAGACCGGGAGGAACTGATTCACAGACACAGTGGAATTTCCTGGAAGACCAGTGGTTTGGGTGGGCTGGTTATCCTAGAGTGCTGTATGTTGACCCCGCAAAAGGATACTTGAGCGAACATTGGCTGTCCAAGACACAAGAGCTGGGAATTGATTTGAAAGTATCCGCAAGAGACTCCCACTGGCAACTAGGTCGGGTCGAGGCACACGGAGCAATTTTAAAGGGAATGTTGACTAGAATGGATACAGAACAACCCATACAAGATATCGACGCTTTCAGAAAAGCTCTTATCCAAGCTTGTCACGCAAAGAACACCCTTACCAGAAAGTCCGGATACTCCCCAGAACAAGCAGTACTAGGGAAATCAACACGCTTGCCAGGGTCAGTCATGTCAGATGAGGATGCCATCAGTCATGCAAAATTGGTAGACGAAGGGAATGTGTCTTTTAAGGAGACCCTTGACCTCCGGGAAAATGCAAGAAAAGCTTTCATATCCATGGATAACTCCAATAGCATGCGTAGGATCATGTTACGTAGAAGTCGACCAACGAAAGCTGACTACGAGGTTGGGGATTTGGTTTTGTATTGGAAAAGAAAGGGGGGAAACATGAGAAGGGAAAGAGGACAGTGGTTCGGACCAGCGCGGGTTGTGCTAGTTGAAAACAAGCGGGTAGTGTGGCTAGTCCATGCTCATAGGTTGGTTCGCGCCAGCCCACAACAGTTGCGAGCAGCCCCGATGCGGGAATGGAAGTCCATAAGGGATACCGAAGAGTTCAAAGTACCGTCCCGTGAGTGGATTCGTAAGATAGGACACCAGGACTTTTTTGATTTGGATCCCGAGGATCTTCCGGAACCCAGTGAAAATGAGTATACTCCAAGCCTTCCACCTGGAGAATTCGAGGTTCGCGAGGAAGACCCTTTACCCGAACCTGAAGAAGAAGCCGCTGCCCCGACACGAAGAGGTTCTATGGATACTGGTGAAGATGTCCCCTTAGATGGAGTAAATGTCCCGGTACCAGATGATGGTTTCTTTGGTGACACTGCCTATTTTCAAGACCATTTCTGCCAGAGTTACCGCTGGGAAATTGATATCACTCCCTCATGTGATGTGGACAAAGACCAATTTGACTCGCCAGATGCATATATCTTGGCAGCCGTGAATGAAAGAAAGAAGAAATCGGAAGTAAGATTGAAGGAACTATCACAGGATGATCAAAAACTATTCGCGGTGGCCAAGCACAAAGAACTCAAGGCGTGGTTGCACCATCGAACAATACGGAAAGTTGCACAAGGCAAGATTCCAGAGCACGCCATAATGCGCTGCAGGTGGCTCTTTGTTTGGAAAAGTCCTAATGGTAGTGAGGACCCTTCTGAACTTTCGAAGGATGGCAAGAAGGCCAAGGCAAGGTTGATAGTGATCGGATATGAAGACCCAAACATCGATGAGGTGGTAAATGATGCACCAACGCTATCCAAGGACGGGCGTATGGTTGTGTTACAAGGGGTTGCGAGCCACCAGTGGCCATTGATTTCTTTTGACATCTCAACTGCTTTCCTACACGGGAAAGGAGATGGCCGACCTCTTGGACTCGTTCCGACTCCAGAGATGCGTGACGCTCTGGAAATGACAGAGACGGACCAGATACAACTAGATGGGGGAGCGTATGGTAGAATCGACGCACCATATCTTTGGTTCTGTGAATTTCGGGATGAACTGGTCCGACAGAGGTGCAGACAATCACCACTTGATCCTTGTGTGTTCACATACCATGTAGAAGGTAGTTTAGAGGGTTGTTTGGGCATACATGTTGATGACGGGATTGGTGGTGGTGGTCCTAAGTTCATGGCCATGTTGAAGAAAGTGGAAGCTCGCTTCAAATTTGGGGCTTTTGAGACTGGTGAATTTACTTACACAGGGATCCGGTTCAAACAATGGGATGACTCGTCTATTGAGTATGATCAGATTGATTACATCGAGAAGATTCCACCAATTTCTTTAGGAAAGGGACGACGTGACGATCCGGAAGCCCTGGTGACAGAAGAAGAAAGAACCAGTTTTCGAAGCCTCATAGGAGCACTCCAATACTCTGCTGTGCACAGCCGCCCGGACTTGGCTGCGAAAATAGGGGAATTGCACAGTGAGGTCACACGAGCTCGTGTAAAACATTTGCTGTTGGGGAACCGTGTTCTTGCAGAGGCCAAGCAGAACAGAGTTTCTTTGATGGTCCTTCCAATAGCTCTAAATATATGTGACCTACTGTGCCTTCTCCGATGCATCCTTCTCTTGTGCCAAGCATACTACCGCCCATCAAGGAACGATTATTTTTGTGACCACACCGGAGTTGTTGAAGAACGAAAAGGCTGTTGTTGCTCCAGTCGCTTGGTACTCAAAGAAAATTCCAAGAGTGGTGCGAAGTACTTTAGGAGCCGAAGCTGCAGCTTTGAGCAATTCCGCAGATCGTCTTTTGTGGTTGAGAGTGCTGTGGTCGACATTGTTAGATCCGGATTGCAACTGGAAAGAACCAGAGAAACTGCTGGCAGAGAGGAATCCTGGTGCTCTTGTAACGGACTGCAAATCGGCCTTTGATCTTTTGACGCGTACAGCAATCCCACAGTGCTCCGAACATCGAACGACGATTGAGTGCTTACTCATAAGAGAGAGGCTCCGGAACAACGCTGTGGTAAGATGGGTCAGTTCCCAGGCTATGTTAGCAGACTGTCTCACGAAAACTATGGACAGTAGTGTTCTGAGAGAGTGTCTTCGAACAGGACGTTACGCATTGAGAGACGAGACCTTTTTGTTGAAGGAAAGACTTAGTGCCAGGGAGAGACTCAAGTGGGTGAAACAATACCGACATGAAAAAGACCCATCTGAAGAAGATGTAGCTATGACAATGAATGAAGACGGCAAGTACAAGCATGCACGAGATTTTTGGCGTAAAGGAGCTAGAGGGGAGATCATCCGAGTGCACGTAGTTCCAAGGTTTCAATTGTTTACTCCTGTGGGGTCCGTGGACTGTCCTGTAGATCTTATAAAGCTAGAGGCCTACCGGGACACTTTTCGTGAAGGGGGTACAGGAGAGAGAGACTTCTGGACAGGAACGAATGCACATCGGAGGACGACTTTTCCTTGGACGGGCGAGACCGTTTTCTACGAGAAAAGAAGATTTTAAGCTGTGTCAAACTCACTAGTTTGGTTCGGACGGTCTCGCTGTTCGTGCTCTTGTTCAAACCCACGAGAAGGGTGGGTGGGAAGGCAACGACATTAGGAGAAAAGGCGAGGTCGCCGGTAGGTTGAGGAAGAGTGTTTTCTCACAAGATCTTAGGGAAAGATTAACAATATATATATATATACACTTATAAACATATACAGCACATATATATGTATGCATACATTACATATGTAGAATATAGCATATTATGTCGAACATCGATCGGCTGTCCATGAGTTCGGCATTGAGGACGAGGACTTCGATCCGAGTGCACCGCTGCCAGAGGTGCCACCAGAACCACCTGAGGAGAGGGAGTCAGGGAAGACGAGGTTAATGCAAGTGAGGCCAAAGTGGCACCAAAGTGACCAAAATAGATCATATGTCATATGCCAAGCTCCTCCCTCCAATCAGTTTCCCTTCAAGTATTTCACTTGACAATGCTTTAAGGTTTGCTGCAGATTATAAGTGCAACATTTCAATTTACTACATCCGTTTTGAGACCCACATGAAAGAAAGAGTTGTTTGTAGAATCGTAGAATCCGGAAACCACAGAAATGAGGAGCTGATGAAACTCCAACCAGCTGGGGCCATCGAGTGGCCTCAGGCAAGGCTTGGGTCGATTGAACCCTCAAGGAGCGGAGGTACAGAGCGGTGTTAGAAAGGATTTGTAGTTACTAGTAGCTTCTAGCTACTAGTAGTAATGCTCTTGTTACTAGTAGCTTCTTGTTCCTAGTAGTAAGGCCAGGAGCCCCTAGTAGCTTCTAGATTTCTAGCTACTAGTAGTAATGCCCTTGTTACTAGTAGCGAGGCACCGAACAAATCTTCAAAGATACACAAACCAATTCTGATGCTTTTTGAAAGCCATCAGACACACTACTCACTCCGATTTGCAACACGCTTGTGTTACTTTCAGGTGACCAAGCGTGCAGTTGTTGCCTCAGCAAGCGCTGTTCAGGAAGCTGCAGCTTGAACCATTCTCAGAGGGGATATGCTGCAAGTCCATCCCAAGAGATAAATTTATGCTTGGAATCATTTCAGCACATTTCAGCCAAAGGGTCAACCAACTGGCCGCCTTGAGACACCAGGATGAGAACTTACAGTATGCAAAACAAAGAGTTGAGACAAAACCACATAGAGTTGTGACTGTTGAGCTGGGCTTGTAGGGTTGGTGGTTCGGAAAGCTGACCAGGCTGACTAGCCATAATGTGAACAGAAACGCCATGCAATGTGACACGCCCGCTGACCGAGGTGGCTGCTGGGCCTGAATGAGCTGCACTCTGAAGGGTGTTGCGAGAGGGGCCAAAAGAGGCCAAAGCAAAGACGTATAGTGCGTCAGGGCGTTGCAGTGTTTGGTTGTTTGGTTCTCCCTGTCTCAACAGACCTGAATGCTGCGATTTGTCAGGGGTCCCCGTACTTCACAGTCTTCGGAAGCACACTAAATCACATATTGTTTGAAGGCGTTTGCTGTGGAGATCTGAGATCAATTGACTTTCCACTCTCAACATGCCAGCCCGATGTTATGATGTTGCAGTGCCAGCATCGACAAGTCCAAGCATAGGTGTTGTGCTTCTTGCGAGTCATTGAGCAATCGAGGGATTTGCAGCATTGCTTTAATTTGCTTTACCTGCTGCAGCCTTTTTGTTGCAGTTTTCAGTCGGCTGCTACGCTTGTGACGTCCGAACATGGCGCGGGGGGCCATAGCATGCCTTGGAACAAAGGTTTGTAGCTGTTCGCAGAAGACCGCAGACTCAAAGTATCAAGATGTTTGCTGCATCCACAAAACTCGTCATTACATAATTAGTGAACACAACAGAAAGTCACAGGTCAAATAGAAGAAGGACGGAACAAAGAAATATCTACAGGCTAGGTCTAAAGACAAAACAGAAAAGACACCAGGAATGACGCTTCCTTTTGCTGTCTCAGGAGGCGTTCACCTTTGGCTTTGGTGTTGCTGGCGGCCGCGGTTGGGGACCTGGGCAGGTTCAGCAGGTTCCGTCATCTTGTTTCTTTTTTTCCTAACAAGCTATTGTTCGCCAGAGAGTTTGCTTCTGGACTTGTCCTTCGCTCGTGTCCTTCAAGGCTGCAGGCCGTTTTAGATACAAATTAGAACTTTGTATGGTGTTCGAATTTCCTCCAATGTGTGCAGTTAGCGCAAGAATTCAAGAGGCACAAGTAAGTTGCAGTACATAGAAAAAAGGATCCGACCTTGATCATAAGTCCTTCCAGCAAACCGAAGTGGCGAGCTGGCATGAAGATTGGTGGGAAAGATCGGAAAGGAGTGTTCCTTCATTCTCAAGCAATTTCCACAGTGGGAGTAGCCAAAAAACACCGATTCGTAACAGATTCGATGGTGCGATGGGCGCGATGTCCATCCGGATCATGCAAGTCAGCAAGTTCAAATTGAAAACGCACGCCCTGACTGAACTCCTCGCATGGAGCCATGTCGGGCAACCCCCACGGCACGCTGGGCGGCGCCCTGGGCGCCTTGGGCCGTCTTCGAACAAAAGGGAGGAGGTCGAGGCCTTTCACAACACAACGCGATTTGTAACGGAATTTGTTGGATCTCACAAGGGCTGAATCCTCGTCATGCCTGTGGTTGGGAGCCGCTACGGTTGGTGGCGCTCGCGTTGCTGGTACGCCGCAGCCACACGAAGCCTCAGCAAGTTCCGACGGCTCGGCGGATGCGTATGCTGCATCGACCCAAGGAGCATCATATAGCTCGCTACTAGTAACAATGTTCTTTATTTTCTTTCTTTTTTAGCTCAGATTGTTTTAGTTGAGATTGTAACACGTGCACTACTACTAGTTAGCAAATAAGTAGCTTCTTGTTATATGCTAGTAGTGATGCACCTTGACACCTTGTTACTATAGTAACATCTTGTTACTAGTAGCAATGCCCTTGTTACTGTTTAAGTTTTCAGTTTCAAGTTTTTGTGTTTCCTGCTTCGTGAACAGTCGTGCCCTCTGAAAACCATTTCTACAATGCACGTTTCCTTCTGATGTTTGGGCCTGGACAACCCACAGAACCGTGCGGGCGAGGAGCATTACGCCGGGAACACAGGGAGAGGCACCTTGCATCAAGATTGGGTCATTTGAGGGAGCTATGTGGAGCCAAAGGGGTTGAACCCAATGCACTTGTTCCTAGTAGTAAGGCCAGGAGGCTTGTGCTTTCAAAGTACCACCTCCGTTCACCTTCATATGTGGAGGATTGTTGTGATGTCTTCAATTGAAAGTTGCTTGCTCTGGATGTCGATGCCCAAGAGAAATTGAAAGGGCTCTCTTCAGCTGGCTGAAAGGTGGAAACCTGAAATTCCTGGCGTCGCCGTGTGTTCCGACGGAGGACAACAAGGCCGAGTAAGTTGAGCCACCCACTCAGCACGATCACCGACCACCCTAAGAAATGAAGGAGCATTCTGGCGAGCAAAGGGGACAATGACCTACAGTAAATAAAGCACACGTGCCACAGTGCAACGAACCAGGTTACTGCAACAGCTCACTTGATTATCCAATTTAATAAGTGGCCCTATGTCATATCGGCAGTCCGCAACTTGCTCGGGCGCTCATGACTATTGTGATAGTCAGGTCTGTTTGTAGTGATTTGTTCTCACAATGGCTTTATCCAAAGGTGATCCAGGTAGCTAGTAGCTAGGACGCTACTAGGGGCTCCTGGCCTTACTACTAGGAGCAAGGATGCTACTAGGATACCCCGTTCATGCAGGCCCAGCGCTCGGATCGCTATGGCTGGCTCCGAAAAGCATTCAAGAACTGCAGGAGAAGCAGACGCTTTGGGCAACATGGGATTGACAGTTAGCCTTGCCTTGGTTGCCTTCCTTGTGAACTCCACTTCGCCAACATATTTGAGAGATTCTTTGATCATGAGCCGGCTGGATGTTTTAATTTAGAGTACTGGTACTTTAGTTTGTACAAGGTTCATGCACGATGACTATACGATCCAAGTTAGTTATAGTAGTCACTATCTTCAGCCTTGCTGGGCCTTGGTGGCCAGATTCCATGACCTCGGCCATTGAGTGCAGGAGCAAAAAATACCTGCTTCAACAGGTCAACAAAGCGCTTCTTGCAAGCAAAGCAGGCTTACCAGAGCACTCTTGACGTTTTTGGACATCTCATGGGCTTCTTTTGCTATGATGCATAGAGCATCCGTTGTGAATCGACAATGCCAAGGGTCGAGCGTGGTGTCACCGAGATTAGCCTCTACAGTGCAGCGATGCAAGTCTGCGGCAACATGTGGCTTGGCCAACAGGACATCATTTAGGGATGTCGCGCTGGTTCGTAAAATCAAATGATATCCCCAAATCAAGAAATTGATCAGCATCCACCGGCACTGGAACTTGATCCCCAAAGCCAGGGCTACTTTCACCAGTTCTATTTGTTGATGTTCTGAACCAAAGATGTTCGGCTTTGTTTCTTTCCCCTCAGAAATGGCTTAGCTACTGCTGTGGCTGTGGTGCACTACAATCAACACATTGTCGTACTTTTTGGTGGGTGGATTAGCATTGTAAGGTATTGTAGGTGATTGTTTATCCCAGGTGGTGCAGGATTTTTGGTACAACTGCGTGTCAATCGTGTCCTTGGTTGCAGGCATTGCCGGAACTTTTGATTTGTTTTGTCAGGTGTTGGTGGGAGACCTTCATTGAAGTTCGTAACCTTCAGAAGGGAATGGCGAGATTGGATGCCGTTGCTGCCTCAATTGCCCTAACGGCTCTGGCTTGGTGTCTCAGGCCTTGTCGCGAAAGCCGCGAGCTGTTTCGATGTCGATTGCAAACGTTTTAAGTGAGTGAGTGCGTGTGCAGAACGGAAGGACTTAATCCGTGATTGGAAAAGCACACGAGCGCTCACATGTGACGGTGATTCAAGCGGTGTTCTTCCGGAGACCTCCACAGATGTGATACAAGCCGATGTATTCTTGGGAGTGCATACACTGGGCTTCGTCAGGCCCAGTA